AGCTGCCCTTTGAAATCTTCTGTTGAGCTCTTTTACTTCATCATTTCTTCCATTTTCTTTAGCTACTCTATGTTCAAAAGCAAGTTTCAGAGTCTCTTCTGACATCCATTTTGGTCTTTTCTTTCTTTCCTGTCTTTTTAATGACTTTTTGCTTTCTTCATGTATGATGTGTTGATGTCATCCCACAACTCATCTGGTCTTTGGTCATTAGTGTTCAATGCATCAAATCTATTCTTGAGAAAGTCTCCAAATTCAATAGGTTATACTCAAGTTTGTGTTTTGGCTCTTGTGGACTTGTTCTAATTTTCTTCAGCTTCAATTTGAACTGGCATATGATAATTGATGGCCTGTTCCACAGTCTGCCTCTGGCCTTGTTCTAACTGATGATATTGAACTTTTCCATTGTCTCTTTACACAGATGTAGTCGATTTGATCCCCATGTATTCCATCTGGCAAGGTTCATATGTATAGTCACTGCTTATGTTGATGAGAAAAGGTATTTGCAATGAAGACGCCGTTGGTCTTGCAAAATTCTATCATAGGCTCTCCAGCATTGTTTCTGTCACCAAGGCCATATTTTCCAACTACAGATCCTTCTTGTTTCTACCTTTCAAATTCCAATTGCCACTAATTATCAGTGCTTCTTAATTGCATGTTTGAGCAATTTCAGACTGCAGAAGTTGGTAAAAATCTTCAATTTCCTCATCTTTGGCATTGGTGGTTGGTGCATAGATTTGAATAATAGTCTATTAAGTAGTCTTTCTTGTAGGTATATGGATATTATCCTATCACTGATAGCATTGTACTTCAGGATAGATCTTGAAATGTTCTTTTTGACAATGAATGTGATGCCATTCCTCTTCAATTTGTCATTCCCAGCATAGTAGACCATATGATTTTCTGATTCAAAATGACAGTACCAAGGCAGGGCCAAGATGGCGGAGTAGTCAGACGCTTCTGGTGGACCCTCTTACAACAAAGATCCGAAAAAACAAGTGATTTGATTATATATGGGAATCTGGAAGCCCTGAACATCAAAGGCAGAGTTGAGGAACCAGACTGAGTGGCAGGGGGAGGGAAGGATGGTTTGGAAGCAGTGAGGAGTTGCCAGACCTGTTCTGGCGAGAGCCTAAGCCCTTCAGGCCTGATTAGCTCAGAGATGAGTGGTGAGGCAGGCAAGCATCGGTGCTTGGGAGGCGTATTCTGCACCGGGAGAAACCCAGACAGGGATTGGACTGGACTGTGGGACATAAAGTGATACTTGTGAGGAGTGTGCCTCTTAGCTCAAGCAGATACAAGAGACTAAACGGGCAGCTTCTGTCCG